AACCGGAATTGGCGAAAATCCACGATGGGTCTAAGACTACTAAGTAGGTCATACACATGAAATGAGAATAGATTCTGAATGCTCCTCATTTAAACCAATATGTGGTGTAATACCAAAAGAATCTGTTCTGGGTGTTTTCACTGTAGACGAACTCCCAAGTGTTTTTAATTACCCAATATTCCTTCATGCAGATCACTTCAAAATTTGACGGGTGATAACGCAGAATTCAGATGAAAGTGGATTTAAAGCTGATCTATACAGACTAGCTAGCTGGTACAAAACGCGGTCCATGACTGCCAACTCGATGAAGTGCGTTTATATGCGCATTAGAGGTACAAAGATAAATAGCTACAGCACCAGGGAGGCATCGGTGCTTATTTTCCTATCTCACAATAACTTAGGAGAGAGGGTGAGCCACAGTGAGCTACAGCTCACTAACATTAGGTTACAACAACGAGGTTCAGAACCCTACGTGTTTTGCCGAAATGGGAACCGAAATTGTGGTGTGTGACTGACGGCAGAACTTAAAAGCAGAATATGTTGGATGAGCATCAGTGTCGTCCGTAATTTACGACTGAAGAGACAAGTATCGGATTCGCATTTATGACTCGGTCTTGGAGTTTTTAGGATATGTGGAAGAAGATATCCAAAATAAGCTTGTATTCAAACGGATAATTTTCGTGATGTGTACACTTTATAACAGAAAGAAAGCTCTGAAAATTTCGCCAAAGCTTTGTGATGGACATGGTTTTTATTTCCACGCTGTTTGGCTAGGTGTTACATCTAATGTTTACTCAGGACTCTTGTAACTATTTTTTATGTTTCTGTCATTAGTATTTGACCTTCATAGATGATTACTTTATTATTCTGATTGTTGTTGCTGGTTGACGAGCCAATGACAATTAGGTAGCGTTTGACTAAACTCTAGGGTACGGCATAGTTCCACGAACGGTTGTTGGAAAGGTTGCTCGAATTCTTGGACCTCATGTTGATGAGAGAACACTGATTGATACTCCTATACCGAACTCTTATTTATTAACCATTCCTACGCTGTTTTATGTGAGACAAACCTCTGATTGTACAGCTCAGGATTTACCGTTTGAGATGTTTTGTAATTTTGATATAATTTTCCTCTTTCTTAAATTAGGACAGTTAAATACAGCGCGGAATTTGTGTTCTGATATAACTGATCATTAATCACTCAGAAACGCTTGTTTTGATGTACAGAATAATGAATTTGGTCTAACAGGATAAACCTTGGTTGGTTACCCCTGTGCTCAGACTAAATACTGGTAATTTGGTCGTTACAAACTTTTTGGCTAGTGGATTATGTGATCTTCAACTAAATTGTCTATCCCATCTGGGCTTTCGTCTTTGTTAACTACAGTTCGTTCACTAAATTATATACAATCTTAACAACGTCTAACCCCGAGAACTGCATTCGGGCTGTAACTCCGTTTAAAACAGTAGCTCCAATGTTTATAAAGAAGTTCAAAGGACAATGAATGCTGAACAATAACTGAATAAGAACCTACTACAATCATGTAGCTTGCTTTTCATATGTACAGAGAGAGGGTATAATGTAAGTTTTACCAGTAGCATAAAATAATCACTGAAGCTGCTGCCTTGAAACCGGTTTTTAAGTGAACGATTAGAATACGAGCCTGACTGGTCGATTGTTTAGTGAGAGAAATATACACGAAAGAAGAATTTAGCACTCAAGAATTAAAATACCTATGACAGTTTTTTACTCCATCCACCAGGTCTCTATCTGAGCAATGAGGATGACATTTCCGTCCAAAATACTATTCACAGTAACAGTGATGAACAGAAAAGATGAGGAAAAGGACTTCTAAAACTTCTAGGGACATAGCCAACCGTGAAGAGAGAATATGAAAACAATTACTGCATCGCATGCTCGTTACCCGTCAAGACTAATGACAAAACATCCAAAAAATGCTTCCATAGTGGCTGAGTTCACCGTTGCTGTGATAATGCAGTACCTACACAGTACTACGAGTTTACGTGAAGACAATACAGTCCAAGGTTCTAGTGTGTTTGCCCACAGTGACGGAGAAATAAGCCAAGGAAAATAACAAAAGAGGGCGTAGGACTCCACTGAAAAACAACATATCTGTCGCCGCTAACATACCTAATTAGCACAATAAATTCCACCAAAGAGGTAAACGTGGCACCCCAGGGCTCGAAAACGTGGTGATCGCATAACACTCAGATGTCAATGCTATTTCAGAAATATTGCTAACGTCAGCAGTACATGACGATTAAATTCAAATGGTTGGTTTCTTACTTTTTGGGGTAGACAGAATAAACCTCTACCTTCATCACGCGAGCTGTTGAATCATTGACACACGACCCGGGAACATGCCGGTTGAAATTCAGGGGATATGTTATTGATTTAATTGTAGTATATCTCAGTCCTGAATGTGTAGTAGATGACGTCGTCCAAAATAAACTTATGTCCTGGTCAATGAAGTGTAAAAGCTTCACAGCAGATGACCTTCCAGAACCCTATATAGACTAGGAAAACCCAGAAGTAAGGTCATCAAACCCACCTATGACAGAGCTAGATTTATTCAGACACATTCGATGTCCCACTACATTTTACCTGCAAAACTCATCGGTGTTGGAATTAGTCCTAACCCACAATAGTGACGTGAGTCAAATGAAGTTCCTTTCACCTTTAGAGAGAAATGATCATGCGGTTAGCTTGTTCAAACTCACTGCAAATATATGGTTTAACACACAGGCAAGCTTTGCTGTCCTAACATATGTAAGGCAAACATGAAGATGATCTACTTTACGATCTCGACTGTAAACTAGAAAGTCAAATCTGGAGCATTGAAAGAAGAAGCATGGACTCATTGTAGGCAATTACCTAAACATTTTCGCATCGAACATTTTCAAAGAAGTAAGACACTGTCATCCCTGGATTAACCAGAAGATTCGATGTTATCAAAGACAAAAGAAAATATGGTCGAATATCCTGATACAAAGGTATGACCAACGAATTCACTTACTCAACTCATACCAAAAGCGTTTATCAACGTTTCCTTTTATAATTTTTTATTCTTCTCTGGCCTTCTCCATTCCGATTACGTTTATTTTACTGCTCTAAGCTGTTTAAAATTTAAAACCTAATTCGGATCTTTTCCTTCTTAATTTATATAGCGTTTTACTCAGCCATCAAACTTGGCACAGCAAATGTGATGGAAAATTACGGATTGATCTGAAACAGATGTATAGACACAATTAGGGAACCTGAACAAAACATGAGAAGCAGTCGAAACAATCTGTGATCAAGCAACCGAAGCGGCTGTTCTCATAAATCGAATTCAAAATATAAACACAATATCGGATTCTTAATCTAATTACGGAAGGAGATACATCTCAGATGATAAGAAATCATAACAGAGAAGAAGCCATGGAGGAATATTTCGGGACAGCTTATACCAAGGAACCTTTGTTAGACAAAGAACTAGATCCAAATTCGAAATCACCAAATAGTTTACTCATAGACTTAGACCAAGACGATGTATTGAAGACCATAAGCAATCAACATATGGAGAAATTAACCGCACGGAAACCTCACAATGAGGTTAGAAGACAAAGTGCTTGACAAATCACCGCCCCACTAACCACTATATTCTACATGCCAATTGATCAGGGTGGGTTATCTACAAACTGGAAAAATGAAATTGTCACTCCGACTTATAAGACGAGATCAAGACGATCTCCACCAAACTATAGACCCATCTTCCCCACCAGTCTTGGAGTCAAAATACTGAAAACAAAATTGTTAAAAAACATAATAACCTTCCTAGAAGTGAATGAATTGTTAGACAGTGAAAGACATGGCTTTAGGAAAGGATTATCGTACATAAAAATTGTGCTTATAGTGAGAAACAAACAGGGTCGCTAGATAATGGAAGATAAGCATGTGTTGCCTTTGTGGATTGAGGCAAAGTGTCTGATAAAGTGCCGAGCAACAGACTCCCCCTAAAGTTGGAAAATCTAGCAATCTCTGGACCTCGAATAAAATTGTTTATTGGTTGGCAAAAGACATAAAGTAAGAATAAATTCTAAATACTCTTCCTGGAAACCAGTACTTGATGAGATACCGTAAGGCTCTGTTTTCGGTCCATTATTTTTTACATTACATGAGAATGAACTGCCGAATATCGTTGGGTCGCAGATTTTAATATATGCTGACGATATAAAAATTGGTGGTAAGCCACGATGTCACGGGAGTCATACTAATTTCCATTTGAATGGAAACAAGCTACTCTCTTTACAATCTTTAAAGGAGGATAAGGGAAAGATGCCACCTGTTTCAGATAGGCCACGTTACCACTCATACTAATAAACGTAATGGAAGCTCTGGTGAATAGGCGAATGAAGGAGTACATGGATAAGAACAACATCCTCCATGAAGCTCAACAAAGGGTTAGGGAAGGCAGGTCGTGCGCATCAAATTTTTTCATAGCGTAGAACAATTGGATCGCCTAGTTTGACCAAAATCTACCGGTCCGTATAATGTTCCTTGACTTAGCAAAATCTCTTGATACATTACCCTACTCACTCCTAATAGCGAAAGTTACGAAAATAAGATTAATTGATCCACTTCTAGCTGTGCTCAGAAACTACCATTAAAACAGAAAGTTTCGTGCTAAGGTAAATGGAATGCGGGAGATTTGGTGGGTCAAAACGTTGGACGTTTCACAGAGGCCAACTTTACGAAGACAGACTCCAGCACTTGGGATCGATCGCACCGTGTTTTAGAAGCAACAGTTCTTCTGAACTTAATTGGCTTTAACACGATCGTTCATCCAGTTGGATACCAGCATGTTCATGAAGGTGTATCCAACCTTAAAGAGATTCAAACATGGAATAAACTTCAGCCTTACGCGTGAGATAGTCCTTCTGTCGTCAACATACGAAAGTGAAAGTCTGAATCTGAATCTGATATAGGTATTGTTTGGCGCCGATTACAACCTCTGTGTACTTGTGACAACAAGAGAAAGCACCGGCCTTCATGTTCCAGTTTTTTTGTGATGCTTTAAATATACAGAACGAGGAAATAAAGTTGTTGTATAATAAAGTAACAGAAATAAGAAGAATAAACAATGAAGTACTTGATTTTGTGCATAAGAATGGAAGATTGCCTGAAATCGTAAGTGGACTGAATTTTTTTACTTTTAAAGCGATCTGATCACGAAAACTCTGATTTTGCTTCCAATCAAGGAGATATAAACGCTTCTTACAGCTTCATATGCAGTCAGAATGAAAAACAGCAGCTCGAGGTATGAATGCCTAAACTTCTAATTAATAGGAATCCTTATGAATTCGAATTTCAGTTATATTCATTTACATTTCAACTTCTGCAAATCGATATAATTGTCTTCAGGGTTTTCGCTCCTACTTTTTTTTTCTGGCTTATTCATGGCTATAGATTTTGTAGCTTTGGAATGATTTTCGCTTTTCCTTACCTGAACAATTTTTTATAACGACTAATTAGTTTTATAACTTACTGGGAAGTAGTATGTTTGAATCCTTGTTATCTATGCAAACACCATCGTCACCGCTACTGTACATTTGTTTCGGTATGATCAAAAATTCTTTTTGTGAAGTACTCCTGAGATGCTAATAAAAACACAAGAAATATACGTCAAGCCCTTTCCCGTTAATTAACGCTTCGCATAGTCTGTCAGATCTCTAACAAGGTGGTTTAAAGTTCGGTGGTCACCTGTCTACCGTAGGACTTTCAGTATTGCTATAAGGAATGGAATAATATTTCCCTTTTTCATTAGGAAGATATAAAATATGTAATAATGGTTATGTTTGTAAGTTAGGCTTTATGGTGTCGATTTTGTAAATTGTATAACCAAATCAAAGTGCCGATTGAATAACTCTAACTGCTGTCAGTTTATTACGTCTAGATTTATCTATTGATCGAACCTTAAAATTCATTCATATCTCATTGTACATTTTGGTGTCGTTTTGATCGATTGTGAATCAGTGTTTGATGCACAAATACATTTTGATTGATAGTCTAACTTTCTACATTTTGCCAAATCATCTCATTCCTGTTCCGTTGGGCACGTAGCAGTCTATCTTGCACTCGTAACAAATAACTACCAATAGATACAGCTTTCTTTTTTTGCTCTGTTATTACCTATCTGTGATCATGGGAATATCGAATCAAAAACATCTATTAATTTGTGGCCTAAACACGTCGGGTCTCATTTGTACTGTGTCGGTCACTCGTGTAAAAATAAGAAAAAAAACAGTCCAGTAGGTATATATTCTCCGTCGTTTATCAGTCTAGAAGTATTATTTCTAAAATATCATCATTTTATGGTCAGCAAATAGCATATTTGTTCTATGCTTGTACATCAGCTTGCATTCAGATTATGCCTCAAGCCAATGCGTCACTCATACCTACCGAGTGTTATAAAAGGGTTAACGAATTGATTCATTCCCCTTTTCTAACTGTCGATGATTTTAAACTTATATGCTTATTATTCAGAAGGTTGACTTACATCTATTGCTTCCTTTTAACTGTTTCTGTTGTTGGTACTTGTAACTGTCGCATTGACTTTCTGTCTGCGGATTGAAATAAAGTACGATAATTCCAGTTGTTACATACTGGTACGAATTTCTGTTTGTTACTCAAGTATTAACATAGTCTGTTAGTGAATTAGTGTTGATTAATATTTTATTTTACTGAAATACATAAACATTGTTAGAAAGAGGCATATAATTATTTATGAGCCACACAAATTGAATTCATGAGCGGGCTAGGATACTGCCCGGACGCTTTGACCGAAGGAGGTGGTTTTCTTAAGGGGCCACTTACAAAGCTTGTGACTCAAAATTCTGCTCCACAAGGCAGTAGGGCAGCCTCAGGAGATGCAGTCCCATTGAGGATGATCCGCCATCCGTTCCCTCGAGATCATGGAGCCCGTGTGCACTATTGGTTTGAAACCAGAGTTTTCCAACTGTAGGTGGATCCTCCGTGTACATCTACCCGATTATTGTCGGACATTCTCTCATCGTCTCAATTTTGTAAACAACACCTATACCACTAAAATGCAGTGACTAGTACTTCCCTGACAGTGGCTATCTGCTCATGGTTGTATTGAGCATTTCGAGAGAACGAACTCCCCCCTACTCAACGATATCAGGGCATTTGTGGGCCAATTACAATAACGTTAGAAATCTTTTAGTGGTCCGATCAGTAAAAATTCTATGGGGTTACTCTGTAAATAAGTTCACATAACCTTTTCTCAAAACTAAAGGTAAAGATAGTAATGATATCAAATTAATAAATTCCAATCAAAACTCTATATATTTACAGCAATCATGCGCATACTTTTCCACTTAAACATACGTCAATAACTGTTGGAGTTACTCTCATGATAACGTCACCAGTGACTTTTAATTAATAACTGGATATTGTTATAAAAAAGTTCAAGTAAATTACCAAGTAGCTAAAACACAATAAAGAGCTATTTAAAATCAAAACGAAAACTGAAAAATTGAATTCTAATTTAAACATTGTTATCGAATGTTCATTAATTTGATAAAAATTAATATAACAAATGGGGAGAAAGCTCAAATCTAAACACAAAATATTCATGCTAACTGTAATTTAAGGACATGATTCAAGAGGTAAAGGTCCTTGAAACCGTCGACTAGGCATTTTCCTAACCTAGAGTCCACTGAACTACTCAGATTAATATGGCTTGATTTGTCAACTTCATTTTTAGTGGTAATATCTTCGACTATATTCTGAAATTCATACTGTTTTCTATCTTTCTCTTATTTGTTTTCTCTATTTTTTTTTACCACTGTTCTCATATTTTTCTTCTGTTGATCTACCTTTGTAGATATATATCACGATTAAATGTCATTTCTCTCTGGGTGTATCCTTAGTGTTACAATAGGTTCATAAGCCGTTTGTATTCCACAAGGTTTATACTCATTAACTGTTGTGCCATTTTCCTCTCACATGATTCATTCAACCTGATTAATTACTAAGAATATGACGAGTTTTACTTCTGTCTCTTGCAATTTAGGTAAAAGTTGTGATAACACCATTAGTTTAATTGAAACAGCGTAAATAATAGGTTTTATATTTTGGAACCTATACTCTCTCCAGTTTATTCAGTTATAAATGTTTTTACGCGAAGAGATATGTGGTCGTTTACACTGTGTGCTTTGAATTACTTGTTTTCAAGGTAAAATAGAGAATGATTTAAACATCCGCCAGAATCCATATTATTATTGTTATCGATACTATTATTATTACTATTACTCAAAATAAAATGATAATCTTTTTCCGCGTATCAGAGGTGATACTGTTATGTGATGTTCAACTCTAAGTTTGACGATGATGAATGATATCAATTTTCAAACCAAATAAACTCTAGATAACATAATTTAATTCTATGTAATCATTACGCCAGTAATAAGTTTCTGCATGATTCTGTTCGTCATTTGTATAAAGTATGAACATTTATGTCTTCATAAAAACACATCATTTTCATTATTTTATCCAATTAACATGTTACTGTATATTATAGTTTCAAACTGTTTTTCCTTGTTTCAGCCTGTAACTACGAAATCCTTAAATTGCTTAGTACCAGTTGGCGTGATTTCAAAGCATACAGAAGAATTGAGCAGAACATTAATGGTCAGTTTAAACATTAGTTTAGTTTAATTATCACTATTTATTTATAGAGTATAAAAATAATCACATGTAACTGCATTTTGTGTGTAATAATTAGATATAATCGTATTTAATACGACACAGCCGTGTTACATTTTTATAACTCTCGAATTGGAACCTTCTTTCAAAATTTCAGCAATCTAGTCCGTCAAACATTTCGATCGATTTATTGCTTCAATATTTTATGCTTGTACGTACACTGTATATTTGTGTTTATTCAAGAATGGATGATAAAATGCTTTCGTAAACAATTTTATTGTCGAATATTTGGTCAAATATTAAAAGTGTCATCACTTAAAAATACCAATCTATAGGCGTGTATATTGTGCAATGTAAGTTTGTTTACCTATCTAATTAATACAACTGTAGTAAGTTCAAAAACTAACCCCAATGGTTAACAATTGAAGAAATCTAATATCGTGGCATGTTGTTTGTTTAGAAAAATATAACTTTTAACCTTTATGCTAGTACTCTGTAAGTGTTAACATCTTAAATCATTTTCATACAATCTGTGATAAACACGTATCAATTTTACTGTAACAAAAAAAAAGTGTCAATTAATTAATACTCTTAGAAATTCACCTTTCTGAGACAACACACTTTCGATTTTTTAAATGTGTTGGCTAGTAAATTAGGGTTCGGTTATTACAGTCAGGCAAAACAAATGACCCACTCAATGCGACCGAATAGACAATAATCCTGTTGACTAACAAAAAGTATCTGACTTTCACGTAACCAATAAACTTTGAGCAAGGAGATGGCGCAGTAAAATAATAATTACTCATAGGTCATATCATTGTTACACATGTTTTATTTGTGTACCTGTTTGATTACTGCAAGATGATTCATTCAATTCCAAACGATCTCTTTTTTAATTTCCTATAGTCACTGGGTTTAGAATCGTCAAAATGCAATCACATTGTTCAGGAAATTCTGACCAATGTATTAAACACGAATACTATTGCTCATGAGTCCCAGTTAAACCTTGACAATACAACAACTTCTTTTATTCCACACTGTGAAATTGGTTCCTCTAATTCTGAAAGAACAGACGTATCTGGTCATAATGAATCGCCAACAAATACTGAGAACTGTAATAATAGTCTTGACCAACCCAAAAATTACAGTCAGTCTCAGTGTTCTTTATCAGTAGGTTGTGTTTTTTTAACTTCGTTATCATACGACTTTTGTTGGAAAATTTTTTATCTTACACAATTTGTCTATTGATATTCCAAGTCCTGTGCACATGTTTAGGAAATTCGGATTCTTCTCTAGCCAATTTTAGTCTGGGAAACAGGATAGCCTTCACACAAACTATATGACTGAAAACCCAGTACATATATATATTCTTTACTTTTTTATCGAACTATATTGATCAGCATGCCTTACCTACACTCTCTCCACATACTTTCTAATCTTTGTAGAGTAATCAAGTTTTTTTTGTGGCTGTAAGTAAATATTTCACACATCAAAAAGCATGGAATAATTTTATGCCACTAGCTGACTGGAGGTAGTCATTAGACAACTCTGATACTATATCTATTACTAATTGGTACGTGTCATCAAGAGATGCTTATAATATTTGGGGAAGTAATGCTTTTTGTGCGGTTCAAACCCTCTTCATTTAGCCTTAAAGACCGGATAAACATATTGTTGGTTGTGGTGACCAATTTCGACTTGTTCTTAATCTTCGTAATTAGCTCGTCTAGACAATCGTTACTAAATAGCGTCTGAAGGCGAATTCGAAGTTTTGAATACGTTTATTTTGGCACACCACAAATAGGGATAGCAGACCACAAGCAGACCGGGCAGGTACACTAGCGAGCGAATGTGCGAGTGAATTAATAAGATTAAAATATTCGTATATATACATAGGAAAATGTCTGAGTCATCGTGATATTTAATAGATCAATATTAAAGCGAATAGGATGCACATGCGCGTAGGCGTTAACCAATGCTCAGTCATACCAGCTCATACAAATCACACAATAATATAAGCCAATGGTACATGTGAGTTATTGTTATACAAATGGCTTGGTTAAATAAATTAATCGAAAAGCTTGACCGAATTCAATGTAAGCGAATTCAAATATATGTGGAGGCACTACATGGTCACTTTATTTATTCAACGATTAATCAATATAAGTAGTATGATATTTTAAAATGGCTGTAATTATTAGTTACTCCTAGTAAGGAGAGAGTCAATAAACTCTAAGAAAAAAAACTGATAAAAATGTAACATGTTAGATAAGTTTGAACAATGCACAACATATTTGTATTTCTAGTTAGTACAGTTTATCAATATCATTCAATGTATCAATATAATATTGTGATTTGAATTTTTGTTTCTCTACACAACACCGCTTGATCAGTCGATTCTTTTATATATATATATATATATAGATTAATAACTTTTAAGGATTCCTTAACTCTGTTGTGTCTTTTTTTATTCGTTACTAGCCCACTACCACTAGTACTACTACTACTACTACTACTACTACTACTACTACTAATAATAATAATAATAATAATAATAATAATAATAATACAGTGACTCATGAACGTCGCCGTCGGGAATTACTACGTACTAATAAACGTGTTGCCTTAAATTCATCATATTCTTTAAACAATTCAACTGAAACTCATACCAGTCATCATCAAACTACATCACCATCATCGTCATCGCCATCATCATCTGTACAGTTACAATCATTTGAATGTCAAGCAATTTGTATTCCAGATAATAATCATACATTAGATTGTTCTGATAGGAAGTCCAAAGAATTATTTGGTACCACAATGCCTTTAACAGATTGTGTATCACATTTTGGTGTCTCTGAAGTAAGCTCTCTCTCACGTTGTTATGCAATTTATTCAATATGTGATTTGTTATCTTCGATGTCATATTATATTCAACAATAAATGGAATTATCACTTCCTCATTTAATTCATTATCAATGGACAAATAGATAACTTCATTCATATCTTAAAGATAATTTTAATAGTAGGTCTCATTGTTATATAGTGCGAAAAAGGATTGTACGTTCTGTTCCCCATTCTATTTCAATTTTATTGAAAAGAAATAAGTGCTTCGTTTATTTCCTATTTGCTAAGTAAGTAGGTAAATGTAGAGTAAATGTACAATGTTCAATCTTTCAGTGATTAATCCCTAGTTCAATAAATTTTATTGTTATCAATAAAACACTTGCGGAGTGAACATCTCTATTGAACGGTTTGAAAAAGTATTGAAGTATTTAAAAATATATTCACTTGCGATAACTAATTTTCAGTTTTTTTCAAAAATGAGTTGAATTATACCAGTTAATAAACTGAGAGATCATCACACTTAAATCCATTAGTTTTATGTGAAATTCATCTTGACGCATACATTTACTAGTAATGAAATATAAACTATTGACCATTGTTATCGCACTATAAAAAAAATCATGGAACGTATAATTAAAAAGTCTGTCTCATCAGTGCTGATGGCCTAGTATGTGACGAAATCTCAGCACGGATACAGAAGGCTCGGTTGGCCTTTGGCAACTTGCGTCACTTATGGCGTAGGCGAGATATCCATTTGCTAACCAACAGTCGAGTCTACTGCGCAGCAGTTCGCTCGTCCTGCTTTATGGCTGTGGAACATGACCTGTCAGAGTAGAAGATGTTCGTAAGTTGCTTGTTTTTGATCATAGTTGTCTCCGAAGCATTTGTTCGTGTATCGTGGGACAACTGAGTAAGCAATGCTGCTGTTAGGAAGGTAGGGATAGCATATCAATCGATGAAGTATTGAAACTCATCATTTGAGGTGGTTGGGACATGTGTTACGAATGCCTAGCCACCGACTGCCTTAACGAACAATGTTTTGTGGTGTACGGGTAGGTTGGAAGAAAACTAGGGGCGACCAAACCAAAACATGGCAGAAATGCATGAAGTCACTGACAACTGAACTGAACCATGTAGACTACCTGGTTGGGGTCTGAGGGACAATAGTAACCGATGGTTAGAAACCTTGAGTGACACGGCTCACAATCGTTTGCAATTTCACACATGCATCCACTCTTTGTATTCTCTCAAATTCCAATCTTCTGAATACCTCATCACCTTCATCTTTCTCTTTTTTAAATTTATTTCACTGAACTATACTTCTTGTATAATATATCTTGTATAATACTCTCCATTACCGCTAATGTTTCTACTACATTTACCACTATGGATATGAATCGACAATTTTATTTACCTGTGCTAACGTCGTGCTATGGCAACTTTAACTGATGTACGTACATACGTACGTACCAAGTTATACGTTGTAGCTGACTGATTGAAATGTCCATCTAAGAAAAAACAGTCCCACTAAAATTATTATCTTCCGCTACAAATCCTTTCCACTATTTCAATCTTGTTTTTTTCTTGCTCAAATGCCTTGAATAAATATTTGTCTTATTGTCCCAGTATTTACTGGATTTCCAATTGTTTTGCTATTTAGGAATTGAATACTACCAACATGGAGAATCATTCAATATCTTGTCCATGTGGGAATCCCCAAAGCTGTCCATTGTCTAAACAGAAAATTGAATGTTTGGTACGTTTTGTCGGTATTTTGTTTTTCCGTTGTTGATGTTAAGGATTGCTATTGATATGTCTCTGTTGGCGTTTATGTTTGCACTATTTAGGAATATGTTCCTAAAAGCTTTGAAACAATGTAAAGGTCTACTCGACGAAAGATCTGACAATTCCCTTCATAGATTATGTAATGAAAGTTATAAAACAGAGAGCAAGGAGAAAGCATATCCAGCTACTTAAAGGGTCTGTAAAACCAATCAGTTGAAGGCAAATCTCCAGCTAATCCCAAAAGGTATACCGATAAATTTTCAAGTGTTGAACAAGATAGGAAATAACTAGAGTTGTTATTCTTCTCCGGTACCTCTACACATTCTAACCACAGATATACAGTTTGAAAACTTATATAATCAGATGCGGGATCTAGTTGCGAATTCTGACCAAGAACTAGAACATTTAAAATCAAATCTTGTAGACTATTGGTACCAGTATCAAAGCGATAAATCTCATCATAGAAGCATTCTTACGAAGAAACACAAAGAGACTATTAACATATTTCTAAAGGATGAAACGTTATTGATTACGAAACCTAACAAAGGATCAGGAATAGTTCTTCATAATAAAAATGATTATACCGAGCTAATATAAAATGTGCACACCTGACAAACGTTTCTAATATTACAAAACAGAATAATCTAGTTCTGCAAACATTATTATTATCCTATCACTGGAATTGATTTATTTTTCTACTGTTGGATTTTGTAAGTGAATACTTACTTACTTACGTACTTACACCTGTTACTCTTAATGAAGCATAGGTCGCTAACCGGTGGATTACTTCTCTTGGTTAGTGTTTTATTTTTAGCGAGTTGGATTTCTACGGAGTGGGGTCGTTAACCCCATTGCCCAATGCTTCTGCTTTATTCGGACCCTGGGACTGGCAATAATTAATCCTAGAAGGGCTCCAGCTGGAGTTTCTAAATGAATAAATTGTACAGATTATATTTTGTTTATTATTTTTTCAATATTATTTCCCAAAAGGTTATAATTATTAAAAATTTTAATTGTGTTTTAAATTTAATTATTTAAAAAATTTATGTATTATATATTTTTATTTCTAGTCTAAAAATCCTTGTATACTTCATGGTTTCACGATTCTGGCAGCTGTATTTCGTGGTCGACTTATCCGGCAACTGTTAGCTACAAAAAAAGTTAACGATTTAATATGTACTGTAAAAGTAAGTGTATAGAAAATAAATTTGTACCGATAAATTTTCACATGAATTCCACGTGGAGTGATGATCACTGTAACTCATAAAAGCGGCCTGATTTCCAATTAGATGACGATGGATGATAATTCAACATGTGAAGATTGATTATTCAAATAAAAGCTATTATTATTCCACTAATATATATTTGTAGCTTTCAACTGTTAATTACTTACTTAGGCAGTGTTTCTTGATTTGTTGATAGGCTGTGCAAAGTTATTAATATGATTATACTTTTCTCTAATTCAGTAGTATTTTAAAATTCGGAACATTTTTAGTGGCTGCGTTCAATTTTAAAGTAGGGCTTACCACTTTAATGGCCTGCGATCTGACTTCATTTATATTTTATTCAGTTTCCGTATATCTTACTGAGGCAAACGCCGTTTATGTGATGGCGGCAACAAAGCAAAGCGAAGTTGAGTGAACCAGTTTAATGCCGTAAAGCGTGACTAAGTATTTATAGTCAGAAAAATTAGGCTAGGCAAGTAATAAGCAAAGTAAATATGCTTACATACTCGAATCGAAGGAACCAAGATGTAAGTGACTAGTTGATAAGACGTAACCAGTGAAGTTCAACCAGGTTTAGGTAGTAACTACCGAAGACAAATGGGTGAGGTCGTGTAAAATCCATAGATTGATCAGAGTTAGACATTAACACGGTTGGATGTGCCAACTCACTGGTCCAGAGGTTAAACCTTCGGGTGCAAGGCGGAAGGTCCTTGATCCAAATCCTGTGAGTAGCAGAAATCGTAGATGCATACTGCTGATGAGTCTCATGCTGGGATGAAATGGCTGTCTAGTGCTTCCAGGTTTCTAATAGTGGTCTGACAATAATGATTCACCCATGATTTCAATGCAAAAGAAAAAAGTGAAAGACTTGTGAGTAACTCGAGAAGAATAAATTATTTAATTTATCCAATGGCTGGAGGTAAGCCCCGTGAACTCGACATATTTGTATACGCATACACTACACACTACATCGTTTTATAAAATACTAATCATAACATCTTCCGTTATTGTTCAATTAATAATGAATGTTATAACTTCATACACTGGAATTGACAAATTGTTTTATTGATTATTTGAATTCATTTTAAAAATTCATCAATTTTATGATTGATTGATATTTTTATATACATTAATAGGACACAGCTAAATTAGCTTTATCCTTACGAATAGAACGTCAATGTACAATAGTACCGACACAACAAAACACAACATGCCAATTTGAACAATTATCTGATGAAGAATTATTTTTAGAATCGAGATTAATAAAACAACTTCATCATACATTGAATGAAATTCATGAAATTTTCTTTCTATGGCCTATAGTAAAACAAATTTCACTTGTGACCAATTCCAAATCAGTTATATCTTTAAAATGTAAAAAATCCATTACTAATATAGGATATGATCATCAAACTACTGCTACTACTACCACTGTAAATTGTTCAGCTACAAAATTCAATGGTCAAACATCAATAAATAATAGTAATAATCATAACAGTAATACATTACGGTATGAAATATTACGATTTTTTTTGTTTTATTTTAATATACTAATTGTAAAATACATATTTATTACGTATTACTACATGGCTGTGAGTTATGTTCAGTCATCGTATAAATTCAAGTCATTTGCTATTCGACTGAATTGCATTGATAAGTACAGACCATCAGGTTAAGGCTCTAGTGGGGGTTGAGTCAGTCAGCTACACCGTAGAACGTCTTAGCACGTACATCAGTTCAAGTTGCCATACCACATTAGCACACACAGATCGAATTGTCAATCCAAATACCTTAGTGTTGGAAGTAGTAGAGGTGGTGGAGAAAACTTGTAGCTCAAGTGGATGATTGTGGTGGTGTTTCGTTCTCTGAGCTCAGAGAACGATGTTGAGCCACGTCATTCAAGGTCTCTAACCATCTGTTACTATAGTCTCGCATAACACCCCAACCAGGTAATCTAAACTTACTAACATGGATCAGTCCAGTTGTCAGCCTTGTGGTGTTGATGTACCTTGTCGAGCTATGCTTTGCGATGTAGGAATAGGTTGGAAGAAAGCTAGGGGCAGCCAAACCAAAACATGGCAGAAATGCATGAAGTCACTGACAAGTAGACTGAGTCATGTCGGTAGGTGTCGACTACCAGGTTGAGGTCCGCGAGACGATAGCAGTCGATCGTTAGAGACCTTGAATGACATGGCTCAAAATCGCTCTCAATTGCGCCGGTGCATTTATTCATTGTGTTCTCTTAAATTTAATCTTCTGGATTCGTCAGCACCTCTACCTTTGTCTTTCTAAACTTATCTCACTGAATTATATTTCTTCAATAATATCTTCGAATCAGACTAAGTGAACACCTCGTACATCTTCCCTTACACGAACATCAATTAGCAGTCAAACATTATAACGTACCTTCCCTCATATCAATCCATGTAGACAACTGTGGACTTACAGTTGACTGGGAAAATATTGAATAGAGGGAATACAAAGAACTCCAGAGGATTTTTAGAAACTGGGTACTCAAGTCAATCAGCAAACACATCGAAATTGATCGAATTTATCAATCAATCCGAATACTATAGATAAGCATGAGATTAAGAACCAAATCAACGAGATATACTGTCAAAATAAAAAGGCGAATAACAAGTTAAAGGTTATTAATAACCAATCATGATCAAGATCGACAGGATAAGCTACGAGTCACATGTAAGGCAATTTAAATACTTTACTTCTACCTGAAGTTCGCTCATATTTAATTTGATTACGCTTTTCGATTAACCTATGTAACCAAGCTATTTGTATAGCAAGAACCCATATGTACCATTAGTATTTTTTATTGTCTGGTTTGTATGAGCTTGTACGACTGAGCATTGCTTACGCCTACGCGCTGACTCATCCTTCTCGCTTTAATGTTAATCTCTTAATATCCCCATGAACTCACATGATTTGTATCGCTTGCTTTTGACCTTGTCAATCATTCGTCGCTTTTATTCATGTCTGTGCATGCCTATTTTGCTTGTCATATGTCGGTCTTATTTTTGGTCTGACCATATATTCTTAGTCATGCTTTATCTCTTTGAGTTGGCTCACTAGCCTTCTCCACATCACTTCTTTCGCCCATTCGTTCGCATTGTAATCCAAAGAGTTGACTCTTAACCTTCTCCAATTCGCTTCGCCCATTCGTTCGCATTGTAACCCATGGAGTTGGCTCAAAAGCCTTCTCCAGTTCACGTCGCTTCATTCGTTTTATTCACTGCTTCTCCGCTTCGCTTTGTGGTGTGTCCCGAATAAACGTATTCATCACTACGAATTCATCTTCTGATTTATAAACTGTCAGACCCTATTTGGCAACGATTGTCTGAACGAGTTAATTACCGAGCTTAAGAACACGCAGTAAATCGACACACTACAAACTATAGCACTAACGAAATTAGAATGTTTCAGTGCTTACATCTAATTGGTTTTCTATTAGTTTCTGTTATGTGAACATAAGGAAATTGTGATTAGTTATTATCCTAGACAGATCGGTAGGAATTCTGACTGGTATTTGAGTTGTTATCCATACTTCTATACCCTTTTTATCAGTTCTAATTATTGATGGTTGACCACCGATACACGTTGTGGTCAGGCTAATTACGTATTCCTAATTTGAGTTGTGTTGAGGTCTTGTGTGAAGAAAAATTCAAGCATTATGCCAATTTCACATCTGTATGTGTCTAGTCTTGAATTTTGTACTATGGTCAGAGGTTATCCGACAGGAAGCCCTATATCTCTTCAAGATTTTAAGCATACTTGAAAATTCAAAGAGGTGCATGATTTCATTTCGACTAGTTTTTAACCGCCTACATCTTTTTGGTAAATATTTTTTTTTCATTTGTAAACAAAATTTACTCCATGAACATGGTTAAATAATTATCGATCTTATCTTATTACAAGTGCACAACATATTGTTTCCTGTTTCTACATTAGTCTTAATAATTAATCTACGTATATAAATGATTGACTTTATTAAGTGGTAAATAATAATTTTTATAGTTCACGCATAAAACAATCATGTTTAATGGAAGTGAATAATAATTGTGTATTAACACAAACTAACTGTTGGGGGGGGGACATTAGATCCTCAGAACTCACTTGATAAAAGTCCGAATTTCGGGTTTTTGTGTTTTTGAACATAGGCTGATCAGTTTACCTTGAGATTACATTTCCCACACGGAAAATCCTTGACTGATATTGGCTGTTGTATTATTTTGTGCGTTATTTTTGTGGCTCTCCCAATTACCTTTCTATCATGTATAAATAAACTCGATTTGTGTGCTTGTAGAATATACTTTCTATGTCTTGTCAAGACTTCTTCCTGTACTTAGCTGGGGCTTTGGTACGCTCGGATTAGAATAGTCTATCGTGTCACTGGATCATTTGCCTTCACTCTTGTTTAACGACTAAGGTGAACTCGTAATAGCATTCAAGCACATCAATTGACGAGCATAACACTAACTGAATTTCTAAATGTAAGCCATTATTAGATGCTAATATAATTAAAGTCGAGCTGTTCATTGAAAAATCTTCAAATCATGAATGTTCACTGCTGATAAGTCGATTCCATGTTGAAATGAAACAACTGTTTCAAATGTTCAATGTTTGTCTGACTAAAATTAGTCTATAGTGCAAAAAACTGTAATAGTGACTGTAATTAATAGCCTAAGTAGTAGTGTTGTTTAACTATTACCCTTCTTGTCTCTAAATTCCTTTTCTTTAGCATCCTTCGACAATTACAACTTGATCAAGTCAATTCGTCATCTAAATATAACAAACAAAACAATGACAATGTTGTCAATGGAGAAGTAAAGTAAGTGTATTCTATTCTTTGTATCAGTCAACAAACAGTTATTTTTAAATAGTTGAAATGTTATGTACATGAGACCGAATTAAAATATCTGCATAATTAAGGCTTTAACAACCCTAAGTTTATTGATATTTTAAGTAAGTAAATAAACTTCCAGTGATAATTTGTTTTTGTAAGTTTACTCAAGTATCGATTTGTTCATTTTTAGCGTTTTTGTTTAGTGAGTTAGTTTTTTTGTGGAATGGGGTCACCAACCCTCCTTTATCCTGACTTGGGACCGACAGTAGCCCCAGAGAGGCTCCAGGCGGAGTTATTTGTTCATTGTAACTTAGACGAAACATCTAAATCACTCGCCACTCAGTAAATAAATATACTATCGTGATTATTACAAAATTTGAAAGTTTTTTTTTTAACTTCTATTCAACATGGTATTGTTTACGAAAAATATTGATCAATTGTTTAGTCAGGTTGAAATAATTTCTCCCATAAATAATCCTCTTCACCTTCTCTTTAGTTTATTATATTCAAACTTAAATCATGACAAAATTCAACATTAATAGTAATATGTATAACAAAACAATTTTTTTACAACAGTTATCTCAATCAATTAAGTAACTTATAAATTTTGAAAACGTTAAACATATATTTGAAATTGTTCTAGCTATACTATACTGGGAGATTCGCTTGTTGACTTAAAATATGCTGATTACATAGTTCTATTCAGTGAATACACTGACAAAATGGAGAGTCTCCTAACCACCTTAAGCAACAATGCAAGTATGTTCGGGATGCGATTCCGATCCCCTTGAAATGCAAAATGTTGCTTCAGGATTGACTTGCGTTGGCACCTGAGCTAGTGATAGGGAGCGAAGTAGTGTAGCGTGTTGACTGCTTCACTTATCTCATCAGTGCTGATGGCTTGGTGTCTGACGAAATCTCAACATGGATACCAAAGGCTCGATTGGATTTTGCCAACTTACGTCACTTATGGCGTAGGCGAGCTATCTGTCTACCTACAAAAGGATGTGTTTACTACACAGCAGTTCGCTCCATCCCAATATATCGGTGTGAAAAATAGCCAGTAAAAATCGAGGATATATATATAAGTTAATGGTTTATTTGTTAGTGTCAGTGCATTTTTAAAAATAAAGTAGGTTGTTTTTTTATTCTTTTATTCATAAACGAAATTATTAGTTTTCCGTTGGATACCTGCTCTGTGATTTAAAGGTTATATGTTCGCGCTTGAGACCGAACGTCCTGGGTGCGATTCCCCTCTAGCGGAAGTCTTGAATGCTAAGCACTGCCACTGATGAGCCCCAAACTGGGACGAAACGGCCGTCTTTCAGCTTTCTGATTTTGACCAATTTTGTCTCGTGTGCTGTTACGGGTATGAGGGCGGATGTCACTTCCTGGCTTCCAACACCATGGAAGGTTGTTTCTTGAGGAACCTGAAATGGAAGGTAGATTAGTGTTGGTCTTAACGACCTGGGAGGGTGAACGCAGAGCCCAACGGACAACTGCTTCAGGCCGGTCACGCACGGCCTTTTTATGAAGGGTTTTGAGAGTATTGGCTCCGCTCTTGAAAGCCCTTAGTGGGCACCCTTACCGCGGGAGACGGAAATCCGTGAGGTAGGGTGAGATGTGACATTTTTGGGGTTGACCTTTTCTAACCCTTCCTTCCTTGTGAGAAGGCAGCATCGCTGCAGATGCTGGTTGTCCGAGGGAAACACCTTACTGCTGTCACACCTCTCTGCAGTCAGCAGTACGACTTCGCCCTCAGACCTTGGGTAGCTGCTTTTAGTCTCATCGTTCTCCAATCGACCTGCCTGGCATGTTAGAACCTGCAGGAACATATGTTCCAGCCAATATAGCTTAGTTGGGTCATCACGATAGGCAAGCCCAACCACCACGTCAAGGTAGCAGCTTCGGTCGGACAGTTGCGTCTCTGTGCTGGTGTGGTATGGCAACGTGAACTAATGTACTTACGTACGAAATTCTGCGTTGTATCTGTTAGTCTGTCTGTCTTTCAGCTTTCCTAATGATGGTCTAACAACAATCGATTCCTAATTAATGATTTTGTTTTATTGTAGCATCTCTTGTTATGTTTTTTAAAAAAATTTATTTCTATCCTCATTTTTATTAGCTTATTTATTTGTTCACATTTATTATTTTTTTTCAAAAAAAAAGAAGTAAATGTTTTAAAAAATGGAATGTTCCTATTGTACCTAATAAACCAATCAAACAAATCACCGATCATCGTGCTAATCATAATAATATTAATAAATCCATCCACAAACAATCATTCACTCAAAATAAAAAATCTAAATCTGAATTAAACAACAATTCTAAATTTCAAACAACTTACACAGTCAATAAAGTCAATCAAAGTCTAGATCATCAAGATAACAATGAAGAAAGTTGTGAACAACAACCACAACAGCAACAATTGTCTATTAACACTAATCGAAAAAATAATCAACATTTTATGAAGTCATTATTCAATCAATTGACCAATAATTCAATGTCTAGAACTCGGACATTGTCATCATCATCGTCAAAATCAATTTCAACTAGTAGGAATAATGCACGGAATACTGGTGCCGATCATGGTTCTTCGTGCACAAACAATACGTTTATTAATCCAATCTCGTTTATCGATCGGACGAAATCAATAAAACCGAGAATAATACGCCATTTTAGTAGTAATAAAATTGAATATAACAATAATAATAATAATCATAATACACCGCTGAACAGTAATCATAAGAATGATTCATTGAATATGATTAATTGTGAACTGGACACAAATTTCAATGATGATCAACAAACTTCAGGTAAAAATTCAATTTGGAATTTCATTTTTATCATCAGTTGACATAAGCTGAAAGGAAAACACTATCCAACATTAAGAAGTATAGGATTGAGGTAGTTGAAACATGTATTACGTGAGTCCAACAACTGCCCATATTCACAAGTTTGGTTTAGTCTAGAAGTTGACTGAGAGGAAGCTAGGAGAAGCCAAACTAAAACTGTAATTGAGGACTAAACTGTATGAATAGGTGTAGTCTACTTGATTGGGGTTCACGTAATTATCGTAGCCAATGGTTCAAGACTTTAGGTGAATTGGATCAGAATCGTTTGCAACTTTTCAGGTTTATTCACCCTTTGTCTTCCTTCAAAATTTGAGTGCCGATATCTTATCTCCTTTTTCTACGTCTAATCTTTTTTACTACTACTGATGCTATTATTGCTTCTACTACTCTTGGATTTCATTTCAATCATGAATCAATCAATGTTAGACCACCGTTAGAAACATGGCAGCGCTGGACGTCGTTTGGTCCTGGTATGGGACTCATCAGCAAATACATATGACTAGTTCTAGTGAGTTCTGTTGAGAAGTCGAGGCCAGTGGAGTCCATCCCTTTTGGGGTGTGAAGAAGTGAACACCGAAGACAGTAAATGAGGTTGTGCAAGACCGTACAATGATCGAAGTTAAACATTAACACTGTGATGCCGACTTAGTGGTCTAGAGGTTAATAGATCGTGCGCAAGACCAAAGTTCCTGAGTTCGATTTTTGTGAGCAGGGTCCTAGATACGCACTGACAATGAGTCTAATGCCAGGACAAAACGGCTGTCTAGTGCTATCAGGTTTCGAAAGATGGTCTAAAATTGATCAATTCATGATTTCGACGAAACTCAACAATTTCTACAACCCTTGGATTTATCGTGATAGTTTTATCTTATCTAATGTGATATGGCAATATAAACCGATGTAAACATGAGTTTCTATGTTACGTATATCTAAATGACGTATATAGTCAGAAATAAGTACACTTGAACACTTAACTCACTAATCAAATATGAGTTGGTCATTTTCAGTTATCAGACACAGTCGTGTGAGAACTAGCGATACTGATGAGTTATCTAGACTGAAATAAATGAAACAAGGTCCGTGTCTACAAACTTAACGGTTATAACTTGGCTATTGTAGTCACTAAATTGTCACTTGAAAAAATATTTGAAACGTGTAACTAGTTATACCTATTCCATTGTCTACTGTGTAATACATGATGAAATTATTTGAAATTAGATCAAAGGTGAAAGACTTATTCAAACGATTTACTGATAATTAGGTTACATCATATCCTTTTCAATGAAATGAATATTTTAATAGTCATGTTGATTCAAGTTATAGCCTATTGTTTTTATTCCCATAAACATTCGTACGGCAATAATTCTTGCATATACGAAAGAAACATCAGTAATGATGATATAAGTCAATCCGTCTAGAATAAATATGCGTTAATTCACGTTGGCATATCATAATAACACAACAAGTTAACTATAGTAAAGGTATTAAAATAGATTTAGTAGCAATCATAATGAAAAACACCAAACATGGAATTATCGTTTGAAAAAACAGTGAGTGAATCTGCACCATTATTAACGAACCTTTTAGTTATTTCACATCACGTCTCCAACTACTAATCGCCGTTATCACTTGAACCGGTATCAGTTAGTTTGGATTTATCAACATGAATAAGACCAACAGTCAGTGACTTCAGGGTTTGATGTCACGCTTTGGTTTGACTGCCCTTGACTTTCACTCAACTATCGTTGTCTGTCGAAGTAGTCGATTTCCTTTCGGCGAAAGATCACAACCTCAGCAATCTATTCATTATTTTTTCCTAGCCCCATAAGTCAGTAACTTCGATTTCATATTTCGTGATTATAAGCAGTTAGAAGTCTTAAACTTAAGTTTAGTGTCAGTTCCTTTTCGTTAGTAAGTCATGTCTACGATCTTGAGAGAACTGACGGTATTCGTTGAATATAAGTTCGCGCCACCAAGTGTCACTAAGAATTCTACCCCCTAAGCTCTTTAGATCACCGTTCTAATGAGGTTTGATAAGGTTAGTCGCCAGCTCACCTGTCTATTGATTATACGTCCATACTCTAGGCCGTGAGTGTGGACTGCACAGTAAACAAATGTGTATGTATGAAATTACGCTCTCAATTATGCGGTTACAGCCTACAACGTATATGCTTGTTATAAGATTGCTTATTCTAACTATAAAAACAAGTTCTTGATTATATGCGTTCCATGCAAACATATTTAATTTTTCACGTGCTCTGTCTGTGTATGGTATATACCGATACTATAAAGTTCAACTTGACTAAATTCATTAAGAGTTGAGTAAAGTTTACTGCAGAGAATCGGAACTTATTCTAAATATCTGTGCATACGTCTATATATATATATATATATATATATATATATATATATATCCTTTCATTCATACACTAATATTTAGATAATTAACTGGAAAAAATAAGCATCTTTTTTTCTCTTTTAACAGTGGAAAATGCTAATGTTCACGTTGAAGTCAACAATTCACTAAACTTAAAAACAACTCATTCTGAAAAATGTCTTGAAAATGTTGTTGAAACGAAAATACTAACAACAACCTTATCAGAACAAATCAATAGTTCAACTTTAACACAATGTGAAACAACTACTCCTACTACTACTAATAATAGTAGTAATAATAATAATATATCATTGGAAAAATATTTCCCGGTGAAACGTCGTATTCTCTCTAAAAAATCTTCAAAATAATCATCATTGAAATATCCCAATTATTCATGTGAGAACAGTTTCAATGATTGGTCCAGTTATACTTGTAATAATAATAATAAGTTATCATTATATTGAATAGAACATCAATAAGTCATCCTGTACAATCCCAATAATAACAATGAAATCACATGTAAAATTGTATCATTTCCAATTATAATTTATTACAAAACTTTGAATGACATGCAACATACATACACATTTTAGATGTAAAGATCTATTCTCCTCAATCCTATTGATAAATGACTTGATCAATTTGATTAATTGACTGAGTTGAAGTCATTATGGTAGTTTACAGTTTGATAGTAAGTAGTAGTAGTAGTATATGGCATTGTTAATGATGATAATAGTAGTAGTTAGGGCTGATTATACTTTTTTTGTACACACCAACTCCATTTCTATTATAAACTTTAATTTCTACTCGAATACCGGTCTAATTTTGTGACTACAAGTTTTATTCATACGTATAATACACAACATATCTATCTACCTATTTACTTATGATTAACAAATGTTGAATTTATTTTTTTATTGTTTCTTGTTTCTATTCTTTCAATAATTTTCTTAAATACATTTTTGCATAGATTTTTTCTTTGAATTATTGGTTTTTGTAGCGTATTTACTTGTTACATGCGCGTGTATTAGATTTTGTATATTAAAAAATAGTAATAATACTTGGTTGTATCAACAGCACGAATTATTAAACTCTACAACCTAATGGTTGAAAATTGAAATGTGTATGAATTCAGTTAGTTGACAAGATTAGGAGCTCATGATAGTAGCACATTTGGCCTCATTGTAAATGTGTAGATCCTGATTAACTTTCATATATTGTATTTCAAACTGATACGAAATGTATCGAGGATACGTATACTTCATAGGTGGGTATTAGCAGACAGACCCAAACAGTGAATAACCATGCAATCGGCATACTAGCCAACTCCGAGTACAAATCAATGTGTGTTTATATCATCGTCCAAGTAGTAAACAGTTAATAAATTGACAAACACACATACTGGTGATACGATTTCGCACTCGACTATCGCATACCTTTATTTCTAGATTGTTGGAATGGATAGGTGAGTAACACTAGTCACTATAGGTCAGGACTGGACGCACTTTCTCAGCTGTTTTCTACACAACTAAAATGTGATCGACCTTAGTACTTACAGTTGAAATCGCGAAATAATCACCGGCAGACAAATGTCGAAAACCTGAAGGCGCTGGATGGCAGCTCTGTCATCCTATTATAGGACTCCTCAGCGGTGCACATTTACGATCACGCATGCGGGGACCGAATTCAGGATCTACGGCTCTAAGCTATTCAACGATGTTACCATCTAACCTGAGTCAATCCATGGTATTGCGCGGGAAGTCCTATACTGGAACAAAAATTCGGTCAGTCAGTCAATTACAACATAGAAATTCGTATGTATGTACATTAGTTTAGGTTGCCATACCACATCAGCACAGAGACGCAATTGTCAGTTCAAATCCCATAGTGGTAGAGATAGTAGAAGTATTAGCGCAATCCTTCAACTGCGCTGTCTCATGTCAAACACGGATTAAACTCCATTGGTTATACCTTACTAGAACTTCAAGAATTACATCTTGAGGCTAGCCACTAGTGGGCATATGATAGTTATAATTATGGGGAATTTGTGGAGATTGAGTTATTTTCATCGCTGAAATCTTACTTTGTACATAATTTTACTACGATCGATTTCTTGATAAGTTCAAAAATGAGCAAACGAAATTTTAGATCTCATCACTCAACTAAAAACATATTGCTTGAGGTGATTTATTTATTCTAAGCTTACAATTGATACAAAAGATTGGAATGTCAATTTACACAACACTGTTTGAATACACTGAAATATGGTTGATTACAACATAATTGAAATTATTTCTTGCAACTTTGCCAATTTTTGGATATTCAACATATTTGCATTAAGATTTTGTTCATTAGTATTTCAACAACCATTCGCTTCTTTATTCTACAATGTTTCCATTAAAATTGGAATAAACAGTTGTTTGTTTCACCAATCCTCCACATACAAAAATTGTCCAATCATACTGAGAGCATTTAACAGAAATCTCTATAGTTCAACCAAATAACTTACTATCCTTTATGTACGAAAAGTATATGCATCTTGATAAGTTGTTTTTTTTTAAAAAAAGAATCACAATAGATCAATCAAAACAAACTACTAAATAACAAATTGTGTACATGTTGTTGTAATCAGTTGGTATAAGCTGACGAAAGAAAAAAAAGTTAGACACTCATAGAAATCAATGTTTCTTCGAATGAAAGACCCATTATAACAAGACCGGCAATGTATCAATCAGTTCTGGCTGGTACTAATAGCTCAGTTCGAAAGAATGAGTGAAATCACAGTAAAAATTAAAAAACAAAACAGAAAAAATAATAATGAAAGAGTTTATTTTGGCCGAATTCCTAACAATTTATTCATTTGACGATTTTGATTTGACATAGTATCAGTGACTCGGTGAATTTGCGGTGCCATTCGATCAAGTTGATCATTTTGAATTTTTAATTCATTATTCATTCCTTGAGCTAAACTTTTTAATCGAGACATGCCATCACCCATTAATGATAAATTATTTTCAAATTCAATATCTGCAGATTTTGAAATATTGTTAGGTTCCTATTCACAAGAAGAAAAAGATAAGATTATGATATTAGAAAAAGAAAGTGAATTTCTCAATGATCAGTTTTGAAGGATGGTTTACTATTCACGGCCAAAATATTATTAATTCAAGATTCTAGGCTCAAGCATAGATAGTTTCAGAAATTGATCATTATGAATTGCATCAGTCAATAGCAACGTAGAACTTCGTACGTACGCACATACATCAATTCAAGTTGCCATACCACATTAGCACAGAGATGCAGTAGTCAATTCAAATCCCATAGTGGTAGAAGTATGAACAGTAATCGGAAAGATTAGGGTTTTTAAGATATGATTCAAGAAGTAGAATCTAGTGAAGTAAACTTAAAAAGGAAAAGATAAAGGTGATGAGCAACTCAAAAGGTTTAGAATTCGTTAGAACACAAAGAATGAATGCGCCTGCGCCATTACAAACAGTTTTGATCTATATTATGAATTACGAAAAGACGACTGTAGTTTAACACCCCAATTACCGGTTTACTATTATTAAGATTTATTATAGATAAATAACGTGAAATCGAGATTGTTGGAAAATTTCTACGACACAGAACAGCATCGGACTAATGACACTGTTTTCCTTATAAACGATTGGAGTTTGACGATGTATGGTGGGACGAAAGCTAGGGGTGGCTAGACCAAAACATGGCACAAATCCATGAAGTCACTGACAAGTGGGTCATGTTGTCGACTTCCTGGTTGGGGTCCGTGAGATTATAAATAATCCATGGTTATAGATCGTTAGCAATGGCGAGGTGCATTTACTCTTTGTGTTCTATGAAATTCTAACCTTCTGAATCCCTTATCATCTCTATATTTCTCTTTCTAAATTTACCTCACTGAATTATACTTTATGAATAACACCTTCGAACCCTAATCTCTCCGATTACTTTTAATACTTTTACTACCTCTACTACTATGGGATTTAAATTGACAGGTGCATCTCTGTGCTGTGGCATGGCAACTTGCACTGCTGTACTTACGTGCAAAGTTCTACGTTGTTGTTGTTTATGAGGATGTATACTTCCCAATCTTTTATATGATTAAGATAACTAAGGCGTTACTTCTCCGTATAAATCAAACTGTATGACGAAGTTCACAGCAAATTTTTTCTTACGATAGAAGGTAATGTCTACTTTCTGATTTAAAACTTGATTGATGCAGAATGATATAAAATCCATAATATTTCGTGTTTTATCATCAGCTGCTTACAACCATGTGTAATAAAGTGTAATAATGATGTATGATATAACATGAAGTAATCGGCATTAGTGACGGAAGGAATTAGATTAACAAAGATGGGAGTGAGGTCGTTTGAAGACAGAATTCAAAAAGCAAAGGCGAGGGTAAGACAGTGATTAAACAGAGTTCGATCGTGTCATAATTCTGAAAACTTTACAAAAGTAGAAAGTTAGGAGTAATGAAATGGTAATTATCAAGAATTAGTAATTGAAGGGTTACGTAATAAATAAGCGCCCTCTGGAGCTTAGAGAAATGAAAAGATGATTTTAGCTTATATAAAATTAGAATTCGTTTAGCGAAGACTGCATGAAAAAAACATGCACTAATAATGATTAGTAACAGTAATTATCAAGGTAACGATAAGCTGATAACCGTCTCTTTCTGGACACAAATCTGGTTCAGGTTTTTTGATTGCTACTGCTTCGGCAAACCGAAGAGATACTTCATTTTCTTATCTGTTATTAATTTTGAGAGATTGGGGGTGCCGGTGATATATCTGGTATCCATTTGATACCGAGCTATTGCATCATTTAGAGTCACTGTACCTCTCAAATGTTTAGGAATATGCTCGGAAATGTCAACATGTACTCCGGTTTCTATTCTTTTAATGTATGTGCTTTGACATGTACATATAGATTGGTAAATGCTATTGGAAGTAGTACGAAAGAGAACCATTCGTTTCAAATAACGTCAAAAGTCTTGCTGCTAGATAGGCAATCTTCATCGCAGCTTTTATCCTTTGGTCAATTATCCCGATAATTTCATCGCCTTTGTGTTATACTTGACACGTAAGATAGGTTTTACATACTTCTCAATGAATGGTTTTTCACGTAGACAATTTGTAATGAAGGTAAGTTCTTTTTCTAAGTTTGCACTTGGGCGATTAAAAAGGATTCGTACAATTCCCTTTATGCAACTAGTTGGACAGAAGCTGTTGTAGTTTAGATAAACTGCATTCCATGTATTTTTTTTACGAAAGATATGTCTTTGTAGTTTGTCATCTGGATTTCATTTAATTCTAACATCAACAAAATGAAATCAACTTTCTACTTCATGTTTCATAGTAAAGTCCATATGGTTGTATGCTGTGCCAAACGGATTGTGCAGCTATATGAATTGTTTCCAATTGTTAGAAACAAGAAATGTGTCATTGAAAGAAGACAGTTTCTTCGATTGCGCACTTAAGCTTTGTCGCCTCAAGGTCCCCTATAAATGTACCAGCCAGAATTGGGCCCACAGGACTACCCATAGTGTTAGTGGGACATAGATGGATTAAAGCATGACTACGTTGCTGCGCGCTGATTGGTCGATTTCCTATCCAATCAGCGCCTGATCGAATCTTGGAGAACAGGGTAGAAGATTCTCGTACTGTTAGCTGCGTGCTGATTGGTTAAATCTAATCCAGCCGATCACGTGAATTTCTATCCAGAAGCTTTCTCATGAAAATGCTATATATAGACTAACGTTGTATCTATTTTTGCCTTCTTTGCCTTCGCCATCAGCTCTGGCTTCTTATTCCATTTAACCTTGCTATTTTGGAATATAATCTTTTCCTGTTCAACCGTGTTTTGATTCTTGGGAACTTTTCCAGTGTTTTGTGGTCAGAGAATACTAAGCAATAGGATTTAGCCGGGAATCATCTAAGCAAGCGTTACAACACATAGTGACGCTACCAAGTCGGTAGTACAACATTGTTGGACTGAAATAGTAAATTTTTGATCCAGGTGAATAAGAGCAGTTTGAATTCATTAATTGGAAAGGGTTCAGGATGTTGATACATAATTTCAGCCGTTTCTTTCAGAGGGGTCTTTGAAAAAAGTAATGAGACGCCGAAATATGCCATAAATTTCTCTAAAACACTTCGACTGTCAAGCCTTTTTACAAATTTAAGACTATCATTTAGACTGTATGGAGCTAGTTTCTTGTGAACTGGCTTTGAACAGTGGACAGATTTGTGACCAAATTTATAATGGTCAGTGGAGCTGTCATTATTACCATTATAATTCTTATTGCTAGATAAAGGTTCGGAATAGTAATCAACAAGTAACAATAGTTTACAAAGTAATATATTTTTTTCATTTCCAATTAATTTATAGTAATATTTATGCCACAATGAGATAATTCTAATGACTTACAATCATGTTTTGTTGCAATGCACTGGTATATTTAGTACCCCAGGAATTTTCACACTGGATTGATTGTCTCAGGTTACTTTGAGTTCTGTTATCTGGCATCTTGTCCACTGCTGAGGATGCTTGAGGAACAGGTTGTGATTGTCTGCAAAATGAATACACCCATGCAACTTAGCATTCATTACCCAGTAGTGTTTACAATAAAAATGACAGGATAGTTAAACAATTGTGTATTTTTTTTTAAAAATTATAACTGATAAGTCTTTAGACTGAGTTATTCGGCTCCAGAGGCCTTTTCAATTATTATTGATGGAACTTGACTATGCAAGATTTTTTGTCGGTGTTTTGATAATAAGTAGATCTGATTTCACCGTTTTAACACACACGCACAAAAATCATTTGAAGTTATTGGTTTGTCAAATCATACTAAGAATGATGTTTATTCGCACAATTATCAAATAGCCTACAGCATTCAAATACCAACTGAGATTTTGTAGACCAAATAGTTGTTAAACTTTTGTCTTGATATTATATTGATATTTTGAAACTATGAAACCTCGTCTGCAATACATCGACCATAATCGATATTATACATCAGGTCACAAGATAATAAGATATATACTTGGATAAATCTTTTGATTATCTCTATGTTAATGCATAGATTTCCAAATCTTATCAATTCAAGTGACATAGTAGCTGGTTATTTAGTACTAACTGATTAGATGAGACTATATTTAACATGTATATGTACAGGTTACCTTATTAATCTTTGACTCGTAAACAGAATAAAAGAAATCGTAGTAGACAGATGTCTTGTTCAAAGAAAAGAAACTAGCAGTAACTAAGATTCAAGAGTTTTTGATCACTTAATTCTTTTCAATGATGAAACATGAGCATGTTACGAAAAATGTTTAGTTGTTAACCATGCAATGTTTGTCGTAAACCAGCTACCACACTACCTTTTTTTAGTAAAATATAGAATGTGAAATGGCAACGTTACATGTAAATAAGTTGTGGCAACTTCAGCTTATAACAACTATTACTATTCATTTAATAATTCAATAAGAGAAAGATTATCTTCAAAAGTTCTGCATTAAATGTGATAAATGAAAAATCGAAAAAGAACAAACCAATCACATATTCGGCTAAATATAATACAAAACTTTTAAGTGAGCAGACAATAATATAATTTTTCACCTATAAAATGAGCAAACCTAATATCTCTAAGTTGGCATGTCTTGCAACGTTTATATACACATATTAGAAAATATATGCATTAGTTATCTGACTATGAAGGAAAAGACAACAACACCATCTGTTTCAAAAAGCGTGATTTAACCACATGTGGGTATAATGAGCGATTCAAGTGTATGAAAATGCCGTAGTGATTATTTACTGAATTCCAACTTGTGAATCATATGTTAGTTTAAAGCATTGAATAGAGTTTTCAACCGATTATTTCATCACTTATTAAAATTTTGTATAATAAATCTATTCAATTAAAGTGATTGTTTAGTTTGTTTTCACTTAAGCACTATGATTGATACAAAAGGGCAGTTAAATTTTTACGTGGCATATAAATCATTGAGTTTATGTGTAAATTGGGGCACCAAAACGAAGTAGGTGATTTTCCTATACGAACCTTTAGCCGAGAGGTTTGATCTACAAGGTAGTAGAGTAAAGTTCGGAGACGCAGTTTCATGACAGCCAGTGACAAACAATAAGTTCATATACCATTTGTTTCCTTAAGATCCTGAAACCCATGCACGTTATTGGTGTGGTTACGTTCTATCAATTTCGAAAACATGACCCCTGTCGTAATAGGACGGTAGGTGGAACTTCCCTAACAGTGGCCATATGAGAGAATTTGAAGAGGTAAAGTGGATTCTCTTCACCTTCTGCCATACCTAGGCAGTAAATAAATCTTCAATGATTATGGTTAGAACTTCCTACGTAAGTACATCAGTTCATGTTGCCATACCATATTAGCACACTTTTCTCACTGAATCATACTTCTTGAATAGTATCTTCTAATCCTAACCTCTCCGATTACTTCTAATTCCCTTACTACCTCTTCTACTATTGGATTTGAATTGACGATTACTTCTCTGTGCTGATGTGGTATGGCAACATGAACTGATGTACTTATGTACAAAGTTCTACGTTGCATCTGACTGACTGACTGACCATATTAGCACGCAGATGTAATTGTCAGTTCAAATCCAATAGTAGTAGAGGTAGTAAAGGTATTAGCAGTAATCGGAGAGGTTAGGATTAGGAGATATTATTCAAGAAGTATAATTCAGTGAGAAAAGTTTAGAAAGTCAAAACTAGAGATGTTGAAGAATCCAGAAGATTAGGATTTGAGAGAACACAAAGAATAAATGCACCGGCGCCATTGCGAACGATTTTGAGCCATGTCATTCAAAGTCTCTAACCATCGATTATTATCATCTCCCGGACCCCAACCAGGTAGTCGACAATTACCGACATGGCTAAGTCCACTCGTCAATGACTTCATGGATTTCTGCCATGTTTTGGTTTGGCCGCACCTAACTTTCTTCCAAACTACTCCTACACTACAAAACAAAGCTCGACGAGGCAGTCGGTGGTTGGGCATACGCAACACATGTCTCAACCACCTCAACTGATGAAGTGTCACTACTGCGTCTATTGATCTGCCATTCTTACCTAGCACCCGTTTCCTAATAACAGCGTTGCTCACTCGGTTGTCCCAGGATTTACAAGCAATGCTTCAAAGGCACCGATGATCGAAAACCAGTAACCTACGGATATCCTCTACTCTTACCGGCCATGTTTCACAGCCATAAAGTAGGACGGAGCGAACTACTGCACAGTACACTCGTCCTCTAGTCAGCAAACGGATATCTCGCCTACGCCATAAGTGTCGCAGTTTGGCGAAAGCCAATGGAGACTTCTGTATCCGTGCTGAGATTTCGTCATACACCAGGCCATCAGCACTGATGAGACTCCCCAGATAAGTGAAGCGGTCTACACGTTCGACTACTTCACTGCCTATCACTAGTTCAGGTGCCAATGCAACCCAATCTTGAAGCAACATTTTGCATTTCGAGGTTGAAAACCGCATCCCGAACAGGCTTGCATTGTTGCTTAGGGTGGTCAGAAGACTCTGCATTTGGTCAGCGCCTTCACCAAGTATGACTATGTCATCGGCATATTCTAAGTCGATAAGCGAGCCTCCTGGTAGAAGGTCTACTCCTGAAAATTCGGACGAGGATAAGGTTATATCTAGGAGCATGTCGATGGCAAAATCGAACAAGAATGGAGAGAGTGGGCAGCCTTGACGGACACCACTTGAAGTACAGAATTCCAATGAGTTTGCCATATGCTCTAACCCGACCAGTGGTGTTCAAGGAGAGAGCTTGTATAAGGTTAATGTACTTCTTCAGGACACCTTTCAATGACAGACACTGCCACAGAACCTCATGATCCACAGAGTCAAATGCCGCCTTAAGGTCTAGGAAGACAACTATTGTAGGACGCCTAAATGTGTGTCTGTGTTCCAGGACCTGTCGTAGTGTGAATATGTGGTCTGTACACTACTTGATAATAATAATAATAATAATAATAATAATAATAATAATAATAATAATAATAATAATAATAATTAGAAATTACACCCTATCTTACTGAGTGGATTTTAAATGTTAAGGCAAAGTTGGTCGAATAAGGTAATGAATGTGGTCTCAGATTCTCAATTAACACAAACTTATTTTATTTTAAAAGATCAACAGAAAGCGTATCATATGAATAAACTAATTTGTGTCGAGCATATTCACATAAAATCACATTTTATTATGATTTAGTTGTCATTTTACTCACCTTCGAGAAAAAATGTTTTTAAATCCACCGAAAACACTAGATAAAGTATTGATTTTCTTCTGACTATCTTTCTGTAATTCACTGATTTCTTCAAGCTTTTGTTCAGCACGACTTAACTTCTCTCCCTGTTCAATAAGTTCTTGGGCCGCCGCGACACCGATTTGTTCTGAATTATAAATACTTGACAAGGCACGTTGCTGGCTAGCTTTTGTCCTTGACTGACTCTCTGAAATTTGACACTATAAATGACAAGAAGAAAGACTATTTATTCAACATGAGTCGATTTGATGAAAATAATTAGAATCAAGTAAAACAAAACTATAAACATCAAATCAGTCATGTCGATCTATGGTAGTTTAAAGTCTTTTATCTACCAAAATGTTGAGCAATTTTTCATAGCGAAAGTGAAGGGTAATCAGAAAAAGAACCTAGTTGGAAGTGAAATCGTGAATAATAAATCGAATATTGATCATTTAAGTCTTAGAATTTTTTAGAAAATTGCGTGCAGTTATGCGGAACGACGATGGTCATGAATATTCTCAATAAACGTGTTAATTAATGTAGCTCATTAATCAATCACGTGTTCGAATATCTGGCTGGGATATGATGAAAGAATAAGAGGTTTCCATCAGTGGTCAATCAAATATACTGAGAATACTAATTTAGAGATCATAAGTTTGTCTAAGATTACGTAAATAATTAAGATTTATGTCAAATCACGATAGAACTTATTCTTTACAGTGTTCAGACCAAATGTTCATCAAGATGTTTTGGTGGGTAGACAGAGGAACATGAAATTCACGGTTTATTTTGAATAGTTAAATCGTAGTCATTTAGGTAGGTGATTCTCATTTCAATAATACCGAGAGCTAGACCCACAAACTATTATCCTAGTGTGCAATTGTAGCCACTCCGAAGTCATGCCATAAAATATTTCCAAATTGTAATCGCAATTCTCGTTTAAATCAGGTAGTCTAGAACCATCAATTATCTTTACTTAAATAGTTTATGATTTGACTGATTAATGGCGTCTTTGTTTGAACGCTCCTAGTTTCCCTCCTACAATAGTCTTATAAAATTCACCGTCGAATATCAAGGCTTTTAGTAGCTGACCATAGGTAACACAAGTTTTAGCCACCTGAGTTGAAGATGCATAATTTTATCAGCTGTCTATTTAGTTATGGTAACTATATGCTTTACTGACTTTGACTATTGAGAGTATGCACTTCAAATATTTCTTTCGACCCCAAGTCTACTTAGAGGATACAGATGTATAATGATTAAAAACATTTCAAACACTCTTGGGTCGGGTTCTAACGCCAAATGAATGGGAGATAAACCAGCGATAGAGAGCCAGTGTAATAATTTGAAATATACGTACACCCTGCAGTCAGTTACTCGCCGTTTATTAGTCCTAAATAGGTGTTCACTGATTACTGAAGCTAATATTCTAGATATTACATCAATCAAATTGGTACTTTTGTGGACACTAGATGACGATTTTTTGTAAACTCCAATTTTAATGATTAGCAGGATAGGATTACGTCCGATTCCCATAATTTAATTAATGTAAGTCAACTTAAACTGGACTGGACCATCATCTTTGAGGAACACTTAAGTTAGGCTACCACAACCTGCTATTCTCAATCGTTTTATCTATCTAACCTTATTAGCGGTTGGAAAACTTGTGTCAATTCGCCATCCAGAATAACTGGGGATAAAGAAGCTTACAGATTTACGATAGTTGGACTTGTTAATTTACTAGAATTGTAAATCTCTATGTTTAACTGCTTTAAATTAACTCGGTTTGTTATTACTAGTCGCGCTAAACCGTTTAGATTCAGCCCACATAGTCACGAAGTTAAATACAACAATTTGAAAATGTACTGCATATATGGTTTTATACCATATAAGATTCCAACATCACTGCTAGCCCTAAAATTAATATAACGTGAAATCTACATTCTCGAAATCTAAGTCACTTAATAGACGTCAGTATTAAATGAGACTTTAGGACCCTGAAAACTAGTAGGAGATGTAAATCATTTCCACTTAGTATACAACTATGTGAAATTGCATAATGATACGTTCAGTCTTTGGAAATGTTGATCTCGAACACGAATTCGTGACAGTTACAAAAGAGCCTACTTGCAGTTCACTTCCACTGGACAACGAGGTTCCTACGTGAGGCCAAGCTGGTAGTCTAGAGGAAGAAGTAAGACTACCAGGCTCATCTTCATCAAACGGATTGTAGGACTTCTTCATGACCTTGACGTCGCGGTTCGCGGAAGATATCCAGCCTTCAATATCTTTTACACAATATCCAATATCCAATATCTTTTTCACGAGCTAATGTGAACCGATTGCTTTCTTTGCGCTCGATTTTCGTTCTTTCAGTTCTGTTCCAGGTGTTTGGTAGTGTCCGACGAATGTGGACCCAGTCACTCGACTGTCTAATTCTAGTCAGTTGGCTGATGTTTGTTTATGTCTCGTGGTTTGAATGAAAATGTTTGTTTCAGGGCAGCAAGATTTCTGGATACTAGCAGCCGTCACATTACCAGACCGGAGATCAGTTAGTTGCAATGTGAAGAATAATAAGGATAAAATTCTAATGCTAATATGGATTAAATTTCAGAACTAAGAAATAAATAGATGATTTAGTTTATTAATTGGTAGTGAAGAATGTGATGGAGGACTGAAATGTAAGCGGCGGGCAGGAAACAGAGATGGGAGGCGAGATAGATGAATTGAGTGATCTGAAGAGATGGCAATGATAACAACTAGCAGGTCTCCATATGTGCATCCTGTACAGCCGGTCGAAGAGGAAGATGATAATCCGTATGTGATTATCAAGCCTCTTCTTAAAGCTGTCCACTGAGCGGGTTGTGGTTACCTCGGCTGGGAGAGCGTTCCAGGTCGCGACTACTCTCAATCATAAAAAGTGTGCATGAACCTGAGTATTCGCTCTTTGATGCGCAAATTTTTGAGGATTACCTCGAAGGGGAAGTGGTGATGCATCGGTAGGATGGTCACGTTGGAATGGTTTGGTGTGCTTAATATGTTGTACGCCATGATCAAATCACCTCTGGTTCTCCCGTAACTCAGTGGAAATAATCCCAAATGCTGGAGTCTTTCTTCATAAGGCTTATTTTTCAACCCTATTACTCATTTCGTTGCTCGTCTCTGCACTCGATCCATGAGATTTGTGTTTATTCTAAGCAGACTGGGTGCGATGGCGTTGTGGACCCCTAGGTGTGGGCACGCGCATTTCTTAAACAATGTTAATAACAATTTTGGGGTGATAACACCAAGCTTTCTTCGCATAAAGTGAAGAGTTGCATTTGCCTTGGCTGCGTCCCCCATATTGTTCGGACTCGTGTGGAGGCTTTCTGTGGTTATTAAACCGAGATCGCGCTCTGAGTAAATATTAGAGAGTGTGTAAATCGTTCGCATCATGTGGGGCAGATTATGCATAACGTGAAAATTCGTTGGTTGAGTTTGAAACCGTTTTTCACTGCCCATTCCTCAATAGATGTTATGTCTTTTTGAAGCTCAGTCAAATCCTCTTCGCTTCTAATGGACCTCCAGATCTATGCATCGTCCTTTGATAGTATTGGTAGTAATGCTACTGGTCTGTAACAGGCTGGATCCTTCCTCTCTCCTGCTTTGAAGATTGGAGAGAAAGTAGCTTGTTTCCATTCAGCTGGGAGTTGATGTGACGCCAGTGAATGCCTGAACATGTCACATATCGGTGAACAGAGGACTTTTGCACATTGTTTCAAGACACTGGGTTTGGGTAATACTCTGAACATGTGGGTGATTGGTTTAACTGATCAGTAAAGTTTGTGTTGAAGATCTCAGCCTTCTTTAGGTTGTTGAGATCTTTCCCATTCAGTCTTTTGAGAGAACACACTCCCTGATTCGCAGGTTTTCTTTTCGTTATGAACCAAACAGATGCTTTGGGTTTGTTGCAAATATAGGGCTTATTTTCGTCCTGTGTGAGTGTTTCGTTTATGACCATGTTAAACAATACTATGTCATGGTCACTACTTTCTGTTAGTGTATGGACATGAACATCCTCGACCAGGAAGTGATCATTTGTTAACAAATAATCCAGGTTTGAGGACTTTCCTTCCTTAGGCACTGAACACGTGTCAGTCAGCCCATAGCTTCTAATGGCTGCGCCAAGTCGTCTTTGGAACCAACCAGTGGGAGTTTTACTCTGCTGAGATTTAGAGATGCGCTATTGAGAACTTCAGCTAAGAGAATTTGATCAAACCCCAGGAGTGGCAGTTGTAGTATTGCTTCAGTCAATTTGTCTTCCAGGACTTTAGTACCTGAGGGATGTCGGTAAATCCCTCTAATCAAGTGTTTCGTGCCATTTGTGTGGAAACAATACCAACATGATTCTGTCACCTCAGTTAGTAGGGTGTCGTATAGCTGCTCGGCTTTTAAGTGGCTGTTTTATTTATATTGCCACTCTGCCTCCTGTTTAGTGTACCCTATCGCTTCAGAAGAGTGTGACATGCGTCAGCTTACAGTGCCTGAGACCATGGTTCCACTTAGAAAATATGGGAACTGCGAAATAAACGTTTTTCATTTCAACGAAGCCGCTACTTTCAGTATAACAAACTGAACCATGTCCAGTCTAGGAGGAACGCCCTTGTTGGGATGAAGTTTCTGACAAACCGGACTATTGCTTACGTTTATGTCCCGGATTCCTCTTAGGTTTTAGGTGAATCTCTCATCACTATAGATTGTGTGTGACGGTTAAAGTGTTTGAAGATACGGTTCTGACAAAAGTTCTGGATAGAACAGTGAGAAGACGTAATTGATCTGTTCTATCAAAATTTATAAAAGGGACTAATTGTTTTAAACGTTCTGGAGTTTAAAGATGATACATTCGCACATTTGAATTCCCAACTCCTGTTGTTAGTTGGATGCTTTAGCTCAGTTGTGTCATTGGAATTTGGGCCTCTGATTGCGTGATCGCTTCTTCTCAGGGAAGCCATGATTGATTGGTTGCCCATCAGGAATTTTTCGCTGGTGAAAATGCGATCAAACAGTGATGAAGTCTGACTGTTTCTTAACTAGGTTTTTGACTTCATACTTCCGAAACGATTCCAACACTTCAATATGGTTGAAGAACCAAGCCCCCACAGAGCCATCAGCTGTATCGCACACATGGTCGGTAAAGATGACTTTAGAAAGATTAAAGCCTCCTAAAATTGGAAGATGAGTGTTTAGTGGTGACGGAGTCGAGATTGACTATTAACGCCACTGATGTTTCATACTATTCCGTCACATAAATCAAAATAAATCCATGTTCGAATATTTATTTTAGGAGAAAGTAGGCATTACATAAAGAGTAGCACGTTATGAAAAACGGCAGCAACGCGAAAAGAACGTTGCGCGCAAGAAAATGTTTTTGGTACAGTTAAATAAAACGAGTACAATAATAAATGTGTATTTTTGACCAGTTGCGTTGTCTTTGTAGAAGTGTTTCACTACAAGTGTATCTGTAGTTGACTCTAACTAGATGTCTTAAGGTGTTACATAATCTCAGTTAGCACCATAGAGATTTATCAAAATTGACAATTTCTTCGGTGTATACTTGATGTGCCTGCTATCAAGAATGATAATATGTAAGGAGCCACTCGGCTCCCTAATTCACTTTCCATGTCGCAGCGAAACGAAGACATGTCTAGTACTGCCAGCACCCGATCCGTTATTCGAGATGCCCTCGTTCCAGATCTTCCCATCAGATGAGTATTGTTGGCGTTGCAGCATTCGTACATAAGCTGTTGGTAATTTTGATTTGAAACTGATAAACTGAAGAGTCTCCATTCTGTTTGTCTGAATGAGAATCGCGTGAATGAAAAAGCAGTCTGCCTACACAGGACTTTCCAAGTAGGTGGTCACTGTCCCTTCCTCGTCTTTTGCTTGTGCCTGACAGTCCATAAGTGAAACTGTTAATGATAATAATAAGAGCTCCAGTTTGCATATGTGCCTTATTATTACATCATACGGCCTGTCCAGATGAATCTAAATTTTAGGTGGCAACTGGCATCGATTGGAACGAAATGCCCTAACAGCGGCATTGCTATTTGGCCAGAAGGGAATGTTATCTTCATCAATTGGAGTCTAGGATCCCTATCCCTCTTGGCTAGTTGAACATGATGTGTAGATATATATTCTATATCTTTAAAGACTATTTTTATTAACTGCCATTCCTGAATACCATCAACTGAATTGTACAATCGTACAATTATATTTCTTCCGCAAAAGGACATCTCACGGTGATCAGACGGGATATTGTGAATGAGACTACTTTCTAAAAATGTTATTCCCAACACTATCCTCATATCCCATTCAGATTTTAACAAGCGACTGGTCATAAGGACCTCAAAAGTGCTAATGAACTTTTGGCGAATTAGTTGTGGATGCTGTGCGCATATGGTATTCTTCTCCACTGTGAGCCATGCAAATATTGGGTGGTTCAATTTGTGGAGGATTGACCCTGCTGTTTCATTGTCTTCCAGAGTAACCTGCCATCTTTGTTCTGCGAACCAAGAGAAAAGTCAGAACGATCTTTGAGTTTCATGATGAGTAAGAAATCGCGACGAACTTTGACCGGATTTCAAGGTTTCTGGTTACGTTGAGACCGGGACCATTTTCGTTTAACTGCTGGAGTTTGATCCAGGTTCTCGTGCCTTTGGTTGGACAATCTTGTGAGTAGATCATGCAGACGGTTTATTAAACAATTTCCAGCCAATTCTCTTGAAATCATGAACCTATCAAAGGTAAACCATCGTAATAAAACTGAAAGCACTGGATGGCTGTTTCAACTTGGTATGGAACGCAGTAACAGTTCGTCTCCACTACTGTCGCTACTCGCAGGGACCGAACACAGGACCTTCGGTTTCGCACGCGAACGGACTGACCTGACCTGCGTACTATTTCATCTTTATTGTGATTTAATATACGGTCGCCTTTCTGCTCTCTTTTCTAATTTTCAGCAGCTCACTCGTGATGTAAGACCATGAAGCTTCCCTTTACTCTTGATGATAAACCTTGCATCCACGTTCCACGAGGTTCCAGCGCCTCCCGATTGTTGCTTTTTAAATGACTGTAAATTTGCCCCGATAATCCCTTTACACGAATAATCGGAACGTATATCTCTTTGAACAATCTCATGTGATGCACTTCTGATATGCCAGTACCTCGTTTTGTCGACCCTCTTAGGCACCCAACTTATTTTCATGCCCTGGTTGGAAACTGCATAATATCCTATCAATCTTCCCCGAAAAAA